AATACGGTTAGGCATTATTTCGCACGATGGAGCACCGCGTGGTGCTATATATATAAAGAGAGAGAGGGAGAGGGAGAGAGAGAGAGAGATATATATTTTTACATAAGGTACGCGCGCGCATGAAACGAGTACCTTATGCTCTCCGTTCTCGAACGAGGGGACCAATTGTTATAATACCTCCGGCGGGTGCCAAGATTTCGCGTGGTGCTCCATCGTGCGAAATAATGCCTAACCGTATTCTGCACTTCGGTATTAAGAAAGCAATAAAACAACGCCACGAAGAATCCCTAAAACAAAAAAAGAAAAATTATATTTTATCTTTATCCTTGACCTTATCCTTATCCTTATTCTCACGAGGTTACTTTTCGCTCCGAAAAAGGAATCAGGAGTTGGAGGGATCGCTCTCCCTCATATCTAAAGCGAGCGAGTCTCCGTCTCGAGCCTCATCGGCCGAGCCAATAGTCATGCAAAGCAAAGCGATCAAACTCAAACCATTATGTCCTATTCTACTTCCCATCCCGTCCTCATTCTTGGCGTATCATCGCGACAATTTTTGGAAAATAATTATAGCGAGTTTATCCCTCAAGTATTACGTACCCTTTTTTCCGTCGCTTCTGCCCTTTTCACCCTGGTTAATAATAAAATTACGTTTGATTCAAAGCAACGAGTAATCACCGCCATTACAGGCTCTTGATGGAAAATACCGTAGGCTCGAACCAGAGAATAATTGGCATTGTTAAATAAGAAAATATATCCAATTGCGATTGGCTAAACTTGTTGCCTATATTGCTCAAATTCAGACGCGGCGTTCATTCAGACGTTTCTTTCATGTTTTTTAAATTCTCTTTTACGGTTCTTACTATCTCTCTCTCCTACCTGCGAAGAAAGCAGAATCGCGCGCGCATAAGAGAATGCATTCGCGACTTGACCTTCGGTGGGCCCAGCTATGACCAACACGTACGTCACTCCTAGAAGTGGTATCAACACCAGGAGAGCTTTACTGGCTTTCCGATATTGCTGCGTCTCCACGTTGTTAGATGACCAAAGCTTCGTTATCAGCACCTGCAAGGCACGCGACGTTATATCTCAATTTAGAGCTTAGAGCTTAG